TCCCTTAAAGACAATTCTCCCCCTCTCTCCCTCAACCAAAGTATTTTCCAGAAGCTTTCCAGGGAAGGAAAGGCTTAAGTTTCCCCCATCACAATTGCTACGACAGTCCCTCCTACCCACCAACTGCTATTTGCAATTTAAAAATATCTACCTTCAATACAGACACATTGAATATCACATTTAGTTCAACTCTTATTAAGAGGTAACAAATGATCAGTTGGGTTCAGTCCATACAAGGGAAGGACTCTTCCCCCTCTCTGACTTTATATGAAAAACAAGTACAAATACCTTCACTCTTCTAACAATGGAGATATTTATGTTTAGCCATCTGGTTAGGCTAAGAGCAAAACTCACTACCAACAATCATGCCTAATATCTAAGGTAGTTTTTTATTCCTTCTATACCACATGCCCACAATCCCAAGTACTGCCTTTGATTTGAGGCATTCCCCCATCCTTGTACTAAAAATATTATCTTCATAATATCCAGTCTCATAGACATTAATACCACCACCACCACCACCTCTCTTCTCTATTTCCCACACTAACACACAATACCCAACCTGTGTAGCTCAGTATGACTCCCCTGTTTACCTAGCAGCTTCCAAAAGGAGATTTCAAATGTCCAGGGAAATGTGAGAAGAGGTTCTCTCTAACCTATGTTTCATCTAGCCCAAATCATACCATTAGTTTGGAAACAAAGGCCAATGAGAGATTTCCTTCCTCCCAGATATTCCAGATATCAAACTGGTATAATATCTCAGGCATCCCCAGTCACCTTAAACTTCAATTGGCTTCTTTCTATGATTCGGGACAGTGTTTCTCAAACTTAGCATCTTTTGTAAGGGAATTCTGTGAGCTGAAATCCATGCATCTTAAAGTTGATAAGGCTGAAAAACACTGATCTATAGTAGGAGCACTTCTGAACTACTGCAGTGACAAGCAAATTGTTCTGAATGTCTGCTTATAACTGGGGGCTGTAATTAAGCCAGGGGCATTTGTTCAGATATTGAACAAGCTCAGTTTCCTAGTTCATTCTCCATGTCTTCTCATGATAGTTACCACCTTTTCAATTTTTCCCCCAAGCTTTTTAAATTATCTGTTGGGCAGTGAGTTGCTGGGGACTGACAAAAAATAGCAATATACACAGATTAGCTATATGGCAGTTGGGAGGGGAAAAAATAAGGACAAAATAAGCCTCAAATGTTATTTTCAAATATGAACCAATACTTTAGGGAACTATGTCTGTGATGAGTTATAATATTAATAACCATTTCATTTTAGTAATCTATATCCACAGCAGAGAAATGCAAAAAGCCATAAAACATCCAGACAAGCAGCAGATGAATTGTTCAGTGTTGTGTGGGGGAAGGCTGCATTTAATAATTAAAGTTAATTCTATACCAATGGAACTTTGTATTTTAATGGAAACATAAAATGGACTGAATTCTCAACTTAGGAAAATGATAGCAATTCAGCTTTGCAGTATTCTATATGAATCAAAGGGAATAATTTTGGTTCTAAGAGAAATAACAAGAGAAGATGATCTGCCTGAAAGATGTCTACCTTTCAGCTAATTTTGCCCATGTACATGTTGGAGAATCAAGAGATTTTTTTTTTTCTGGATCATGTCATTCCAGAGAACAAGTCACAAGCTTGAATATTTCATTTCTAATTTCACCTCATCCACCATATGAAAAAATGGATATGTTGGAGGAAAAAGTTAATCTCTCTCTCTCTCTCTCATGCAATTTTATATTTGAATAGGGGACTCTACTCTTACAATTTTCCAGTGGGACAGTCCAGGAGAAGTTTCAGGACTGGAAAGGGATGTATCAATAGGAGGAAAGGAAAAGGAAAAGAGCAAAGGGGGGAGGGGGAAAGAGGAAAGGATATCTATGAAAATACGTTTCAAGTCATGATTTTATTAGTGCAGAATCAAATAAGATATAACTCAGGGAATCCAACACATATTCAGATACAGGGCAGTGCATACTGATTTTTTTTTATCTATGACTAATATGGGAAAAAAATGCAGCACTTGATTTTGGTTGTCCAAAGCACAGCAATGAAAGAACAAACACAGAGCAACTGGACAAAGACAGCACTTTGGCTCTAGGAAAGAGAAAAGATCCCAGAAGGCAGTTTCCACTGGGAAATTGTCCACTTTAATATTCCAGAGGAAATGCAGCAAAGTGATCTTGAGCCCACAGTTCATCAGCTCAACTGCTCAATCAGCAGTGTTGAGGAGATACCCTGATTTCAGCTAGAGAGATTTTGTATCTTTGTATCTGTTGTATATTTCTATTACAAAAGAAGGATGGGGGAGGCCTGGCTGAATTCACCCAAATTCACACTTGCAGTGAGATCTGAACCAGGGACTTCTTGGTTAAACACTTTGTACTTTTGCTTTCTGTTACTACTTTAACTCTTAGCAGAAACAGTATCCGGTGATATGGTCTAATAATTACACAGATTGTGACACCAATTTTGAGAGACAATTGTCAGTTGGGGAAAAATGCTGGATGACTAGCTTACTGCCAACAGCCAGAAAGATTCTTTTGGGACTTGGGAATTTGATAACGATAAGAAAAGACACACATGCTCATTCTTTGATTACAACTATTTGCTCCAAATTCGCTAAAGAAGCCTTCTCTAACCATATGCACTTCGTATGTGTTATACTAGTTCCAATCACCCCTAGCCAATAATGACTAAGGATGGTGACAGCTATGTCAAAAATATCTAGATTACTTCAAGTCTGGAAAAGCCATAGCAACTGATCTAAAACAATCACAATAAGGCACATCCAACAGTGATGTATCTGTTCCACTTTTGAAGTTTAGCTTGGTAAAATGAGAGAATCCCAAGATAAGCCCCCATATTGCTTATTGTCCTGATGCAAAAGGAACAGAAGAGTGAACCTTGCCCTTAAAAGTACTCCTAAAAGAATGGTAAATTCTTTTGAAATGGGTAAATGACAGACTAGAGATGAGTCCACATTCTAAGAAGGCAAGCTTTTTTCCAAAATGAGGGACTCCAGATGCATTGCCTTTACTGGCTGAGAATTCTGGGGTCCAAAATCTTTAGAAAACAACATTACAAAGTCTGACCAGATCGGTTCCTTTGCCAACTGTGATGTAGTTGCTAAGCCATCCTTAAGTGCTTATAGAAAAATCTTGGGGCCCTTTTCTTCTGCAAAAATAATGGAATTGCTCCTGAGAAATAAATAACAAAACCTCAGTGGTGCTGTTTCCAAATAGTTTATTTCATAGAACAGAGAGGTTCTCTCCTTACTGGAAGTCTTTATAGAAAGCACTCATGGGAGTGCAACAGCCATGTAACTGAGCAAAACAGAGATAGACTTCAACATTATTGGAATGGGATGGTGGGGTGGGAGAGCACCATCTGCTCTTTTTCATATTGTGGCAACATCAACATATTCCCTTCTTGCTATTCTACAAAAAGTAACTACATTGGCAATCAGCAAAATTATTGAGGCCTCTCCCATTCCTTTGTAAAATGGAGTAGGAAATTAATTTCTTATAACAGCCATTACATAGAACTGCATGCTTCATAAACCTGTGTTAAATAAAACATAGTCATCAGGAAAAGAATATTGTATGAATCTAAAAATAGGTTAATTTACTAATCAAATAAGTCTATGTGAAGCTAGCTTTTAAGTGCAGAACAGGCATTCAATGTGGAGCCATGTCACTTCCCTCCCTGTACCTTAAATGAAGAAGCAATATTTTATTTATTTATTCTATTACTTTTTACCCCATCTTGCTCACAGAGCTTGAAATTAAGCCACTTCAGGATATTAATTTCATAACAAAATGCAAAACAATAATGATTCATTAAAGCAAGCTAAGTCTTTAGATAAAAGGAAAAGCAGTAGAAAATTAGTTAGGCTCATTCCCCAGTGCAATATGGCAGGCATATCCCTACTAAACATCTTGCTAAACTGCCTTGAAGCCTCCTGCAGGGGCACCAAGTCACTTGGGCAGCTCAGCTATTCATGAGCTGGGGGAGAGGAAAGACCTCAGGGAACAGATATCCATGGATATCCTCTCATCAGGAAAATTGTCATCCACAAGTTCCACAGTCCTCAGGGGTCTGCAAACTGTTAAATTACTCAACACTATATAATCATGTGTAAGTGGCTGTCTCTTGCGATGATGGCTTTGATAAGTGCCAAGAACAATTTACAGATCCAAAACTAAAATATCTACAGGTTTCTTCTCTATGATTTGGGGGGCAGAGGGGCAGAAAAACCTGTGAAGAAAATCAGGAGGCTTGTAAACAGAAAGGATAATTATTTGGACCCTTCAGTACAATTTGCATTTAAGGACAAGTGGGGGGGGCAAGTACCTTTATTATCCATGTCTTTCCCACTCATAATGTTACATCATGGAGCCAAAGAAATAATGCATAGGATTCCCCCCAGCACCCACACAGCAGCAGCTGTGTGTGAAAATATGTAAAAGTAGGAAGAGAGTAGTAGGAGGACTTATTTTTAAAAGCAACAAGTTTGTGTTTCAGGGAGACGACAGGAGTGGAAACCTGCCCACCCATCTGCAGCTTCTATCCCTTCTGTTTCTCATTCCAGGTTACTTTTTCTCCTCCGGCATTTCAATCTCAGACATGACCTAGCAGAAAGTAAAGTGAGAGTCTGCAGAATAAATAATAACCCACAAAAGTTGATGGAGTTTTGCTTTTTTTCTCTCTTTTATGTCTAAAATTCAGCCCCTTAATTCATCTTCCTATCCTCCATTTTTAACCAACAATTTTCATCAAATGCCTTTAACCTAGTCTGCTTTTCAGATGATAAAGAAGCACAAAAAAAAAAAAAAAAAAGATTGAGGCACAAAGCAAGAATGGGATTTGCAAGAATTGTAAGAGGCAGGAAAGCAGAATGAAATCCAGGAGACACGATCTGCTGGAGAGTCACTACTTTTCTGACACACAAAATTTTCCATTAACACACAAGTTACATACCTCTCTCCACTGTTTGGTCTCTATGCCCTGAGTATACAGCACACACACTGTAAAGAGGGGAAAAAATCACAAGTTACTAAGCCACAGGCACAAAGAAAAGAATTTAGCTCTAGTGTCACATAGCACAGACTGTATTAGGCAGACTTCACAAGCTTCTGCAAGATGAAAAGCTAAACACAATTACTGAAGCTTGATCCCCCAATGATGAGATTGGAGAGGAGGGAGAGGACTGGATTCCTGAAAATTGTAAAGCTGTGGTGCATTATTTCTTTTTTTTACCCTTTTTTTCTTTTAAAAGATTATTTCTATGAACCCAAAAATAACATCTAAACTTCTTTTTCCTTTTTGCTATTAATGAAAAAGCATTTCCCTGCAAGCTCAAAAAGGCAAGAATGGGGTGGATTCTAGGTCTAGGTTATAATGGAAAACTGGAATGGAAACTAATTGCAACAAATGCTAGAACTTGTGATTTGATTAGGCCTTAGATTCAAATCATATCTAAGGAGCACATTTTGAACTGTGTGACATTTTAAACATCTACCATCTCTTTTTTTTTTTTGTATTTGTGTTTGATCTTCATAATAATCTTATGAGGTAAACTGACTGCCAGAAACTGGTTAGGCGAGTATTTCAACTCAGCATCCTAACCCCTCTGCCCCATCAGCTCAAAAGAATGGATCCTTTACTTTTACATCTCAGCTCCATTAATCTGAGTAACATAAATTTCATGAGTATGATTGATTACTATTGTCTTCCCACATAATGGAATAGCACAAGAGTTATTTGCCTTAGCTCATATGAGGAAAAAGAAAGGCTCTTTTGGAATCAGAAGTTGTATCACATTCAACTGGGAACTACCACATGCTAAGGCAAGTCCTATACTAAAATTAGTGTCACTAGAACTCTTGTCAGAAAGAACAAAAACCACTGCAGCTTAATTCCATCCAAATTCATTAGATTCAGTGGGTTTACTCTGTTGAATAAAACTAGACTCACCTTGGCAAGATGGGTAGCATAGAAGTTTAATAAATAAACAAACATGGAAAATTCAGATTTAATCCCCAGTTCCTCAATAACAACAAAAAACCTTCAACAGATGATTAGGATTCACTGTCTTCTCTCAGCTTAAGCTATATATTTTTTGTGAAAACTTCTCAGCTTAACCTATTTTTTGTGAAGATAATACAAAGTAGGGGGAGGAGACATTGAGTTCCTAGAATAAAAAATAGAATATAAATAAAAGGAATAACTAAACCAATAGCTTTTGGGTTGTAGCCTTAATTTATTGTCCAAATCCATAAAGAGAAACTTCTGCCATGTTTCTTTGATTCCAGTTTTGGGTTGGACCCTTCCTACAACAAACTTTTTTTTTTCTTGCTTCCCCTTCTGTATAAATAGCAATGAAGCAGCTGGGCTGTAAAGCAGAGAAAGGGCCACAGGAGAAGTGCTCCTTCTACTGAGAGGTGGATACTTGCTTCTATAAGTCAAATACTTTCAACAAAATGACAAAAGTGACAAGAGACCCAATGTGGTCTACTGGTTAAGGCACCGTCCTAGAAACAAGGAAATTGTGAGTTCTATTCCCAATTCAGGCAGGAAAGACCACTCTTTCTCTCTTAGCTCAATTCCCCTCACAGAGTTGCTGTTGTTGGGGGGGGGGGGAATAAGAGGACAAAGAATATTAGGTATGTTTTGCTGCCTCTACTTATTTATACAAATAATAAAGGCAAGATGAAAAAGCAACATCACAAGGTTGTACATGACATGCATTTAAAAATAATAATAACTAACTCGAATTGGGACACAGTGATGCTGCTTTTACCATCTGATCTCCTTGTGGCTACCCCTATCAAAGCCTACTCTACTACTATGCTAAATGCAGAATCAGAGAACTGTAGCTCATTCATGATTTAGCAAAGAAACCACAGAAAACCAAACAAGATTTTAAAATTACCCAATAATGTATTTCACTAATATATTTGGCTCCCCATTCAATTGCTCCCCATTACTAAAGCATAGCAAAAAATGTAAAAATGATTAATGAGACTTTAATGAAGAGAAGCTGCCAGAGAGCAAAGGATGTCCCACTAAGCTTTTTTTTTTTCATGTTCTGCTGATCATGTCTTTTATCTGCCTAAGGATTTATACATACTAGTTGTAATCTCAGTGCTAATCAAAGAAACTAGAACTTCACAAATTGAATATGCAACAACGTGCTACAGTGCAAAATACTACTGTTCAGAAATGTCACAACATTTCTGTCACAACATCTTCCATGACATTTCCAAGCTACTCCATACTATTCCCACTGTGCTAATTACATTCTAAGACCACAAAGTTTGGCCAATCTTTGCTGCAGAGGTGGTGTTGGGGAACTATGGCCCCTTTATAATTTATGGACTTCAACTCCCAGAATTCCTAAGCTAGCATGGCTGGCTCAGGAATTCTGGGAGTTGACGTCCACAAGTCATAAAAGGGCCATCGTTCCCCACTCCTGCTTTACTGGGTTCTGTGAGTTGTCTCCGTTCCCAGTGGCATCCATTAGTAGACATAATTTTAAAAATCTAACTTATTCTGGCATTTCTGACAACTTTTCTCATATACCTAATATTATACCGTGTTCTTTCTGTTTATTCTGGCACTCAAGGTGGTTTAGGTTAAGGTTCTCCAAAACCAGTTATTTCCCTGCATCATGCATACAGATGGTGCTTATTTTGCAAACATAAGCTTCAAACTAGGAGAGTCAGTTAACATATATTAGCAATCAATGCACCGTTACCTTCATTCTGTTGGGGAAAAGGATGATACAGAACTAAAATAAAAATAAAATAAAAGCACTGGACAGCACATATCTCACAAATATAGGCAATGCGATTATTGAAGCCGACGAATTGAGGACCAGAGATAATAAACTATTAATTCTGGTTTTCAAATGTGCTTGAAATATATATCAGGAGAATAATTATATATACTGTATAATCTAGTTTAGAGACCTATGCTGGGTGTAATAATTGCTATGTAGGCATGAATATCTACCTTTCAGAGCTTTTTCTGTTTAATACAAAGGAGAAATTCACTCTATCTATACTCATTTTATACATTCAAAGCGAATCACCTGACTGGTGAAAACTGCAATCAGCCACACACTTAATACATTTCTGTGCATTTACTAAATCCCAGTAATTATAATTATGTATTATGTTTCCCAGATTTAAATTAATGGTTCTTAAAAATATTTAAGTTGGATTTTTTTTTGCCCTAAAATTGTAATTTGCACACATTTGCAACATAGACCCATACGTTGGGGACAAGAAATGTTGTGAACAAAGCCCAAATACTGTAATCAAAACTCATCTTGAAGAAATGTTCATGCAACACTTACGTACATGGGTCAGACTTGGAGAATGTATCTTTATCCAAAAGATTCCTGGGGGGTGGAGGGGGGGGGAAGGAAAAAACAGAAAAAATTATGTAGAGCCTGGATAGATGTATTTTCAGTTCAGAAATGGAATTGACAAAAACCTCCCTAGGTTTTTTGGGGTTTTTTTGCACTGATTCTCAACTGATTTTTTTAAAACAATAATATTAAGTGTTTTGTTTTCCAAATAATTATACACATCCAGAAATGATTGAACTCTGCTGAAATTGACAAGGCAGCTATCAGAAGTAATCTAGGGAATTAGAACTGAAGAATCAGACCAAATAATGCAATAAATAAATACACCAAAGCCAAGAAGAATGGGTTTCTCAGACAAAGTCTCCATTCAAACAAGATATCTTTTTGCTTACAATGACTCAGTACCCATGCTGACTTGCAGGCAAATCTATAGGCTGAGAACATTTGATTGCCCAAGGAGATACTCCAAATCATACTTACTGTGCTTGGCATACAGAACAACTGTAACAGAATGGCTATTTCTAGTTTATATACTTCCCAACATTAGCCAAGCATTTTCTAATTCACTATTGCTTATGAACAAGTTTTCTCTCTTCAGAAACAACACTTTCTTTCAATCTATTTAGTATTTCATATTGTCTCCCAGGACCAGCTTAATCAGCTTCCCTTAATTGGCACTTTTCAGATAAGCTGGAATACAGCTCTAATAATTTCAGTTAATATTGCTTTTACCCATTATGGCCAGGGAAGATGAAAGCTGAAATCTAACATATCTGCAGAACACCAATCCAAATGATGGCCAAAGTGTAGGTATAATATCAAAGCACATGCAAATGAACACAGCTGGAGGAAATGTCACTAACATAATGTTAAACTAGTTACTTTGTTAAATGAGCCAGCACTGAAAGCACTTTAGTTAAGATGTTTGGTTTTCTTTCTGCTTTAGCATTTATTCTCTAAACAGAATATGTCAAGGAATTATACCAAATTTCACTGTAATTTAGAATTCATTAATTCATTTTTAATGGAAATTCACATATCTCAATCTTCAAAATTGTTACTTGTGACCCTCTAGAGCCCACACAAAAACTTTAATCAGCCTGAACCAATATGCTTAGTAATCATTCAAGAATAGTTTAAGCCAGGGCTTTTCAACCAGTGGTACAGGTACCACCTGTGGTACATTGGCACCTGGCAGGTGGTACGCGACCATCCCAGAAAAGTGGGAGGCGGAGGGGAATGAGCTGAACCGGTGGCAGCACCTCACAAGCCTGAGCGAGAGATGGCTGGAGCTGCAGGGCTGTCAGGGCTCAGTGGAAGCACCAAGAGCAGTGCTTCTTCGAGGCTGTCAGGGCTCAGCGGAAGTGCCAGGATCAATGCCAAGTTCCAGGTGGAGCTCAGAGCTGATCCTGGAGCTTCTGCTGAGCCCAGAAAAAGCGCTGATCAGCTGGAATGTTGCAGCCTCTCCTGGGTCTTGTGATTTACATTCAGATGCTTGGCAACTGATTCATTTTATGATGGTCAGTGTCCCAGGGTCATGTGAAGTGTCCAAAACCTGCTGCAACCACCCGGCAGATGGGGGGAATAAAAACCAAACACCCCCCACCCCACCCCCAGTGCCAATCCTCAACAGAAATGCTCACAACAATGAAAACCTCCGACAGGAGGAAGAGCGCCACCAGATGGGCAGGCAGGTGTCTTGCTCGGCTGTGGCTTGGGGGGTGCTTTTTTCAGTGCCATTGTAACTTCAAACAGTCACTAAGCAAACTGTTGTAAGTTGAGGACTACCTGTACTTCATCACTTCCCCCCCCCTTTTTTGTGGTCATCATGTTTTTGACACCTTGCTAGGTGACTGGTGGTACTCGGATGTTACCATATCCTAAAAGTGGTACAATAGGTGAAAAGGTTGAAAAGCCCTGGTTTAAGCAACAGCTTCATATTGTGTTGCCTTGAATCATTCTGAAAGTAGAACAGAAAGAAAAAATTATCTAGCCAGGTAAGAAATTATGTTGCTTTGGCACTTTGCACCAATATCATTACTGTCCAATTCAGACTGTCCTTTTCTCAGTAAATAAAGTCATAACTGATTCACAAATTATTGATGTTGATGATGGCTAAAAATAGACTGTAATGACTATATTTTCACAAGTTAGTATCTTGATAACTGATGGCGTAAAAAATGTAAAAATTATTTCTTTCTTTAAACTTAGAAGGCATTTTTGTTTTCTGCCAAGTGGTGTAATCTTTCATAAAGTTGTCATAAATCTCACAATACTAAGATTTTGTCTTGGGAAACTTCCTAACAACTTTACTTCCTTCAATAATTTGCCTATTTTCAAATAAAAATCCTACTAATAACTACAGTATTGTAACTTTTCTAGGAGCTGTCCAGCATCTGAAGTGCTGAATACAGTATGAAAACATTACAATAAGACTTGACCGTGTCTTATTCTAATGTTTTCAGACTATATTCAGCACTGCAAGTGCTGGACAGCTCTTAGAAAAGTTACAATACTTGTTATTAGGATTTTTATTTGAAAGCTGGCAAATTCTTGAAGGAAATAAAGTTCACAAAAGTGTATAGGATTCTTTGCTGATGTGGTTAAATTTTAGATTCTACGCTAATGGCATATTGTGCCATCAGTGAATAGCAGAAATAATGAAGGATTAGAAAGAGCTTAATAGTGTTTCAGTTTCAGATCCAGGCCTTTCAATAGCTTATCTTTGAAGCACTGCAAGAACACCAATTAAATGTAAGAAGATACACAGACTGAATGCAGAGGGAGCTTGTTTCAACTCCTTGGCACACTTTTTCCTAGAAGCAATCTTTCACTGTGTTAAAGACAAACAAACTTCAGAGATCACAGCAGGTCAGGCTATTGCATTTGGGCAAAGGAGGAGGCAGCTCTGAGTTGAAAGAACTGGGCAGATCAGTAACCAGGGCAATCAAATAAGACCTTCCTTTTTCCTATGTAATTCCCACCTTCCTCAATGTGGAGTGCTCTAAATGTTTTGGGGATACAATTTCCAGAATTTCAGCATGGCTGAAATCCTGGGGTTTGTAATTTCAACTCTTTTAGAAGACACCATGATGATGAAGCCCAAAGCAAGGTAGAGCGCAGTAGAAGATACATCAGTCATATTGGGGAGATGAATATTCAGCGTCAGGTACAAGAAACTACTGGAAATAACTACCAAGTGAGTCACCCATTATTAGTCATTCTTAAGACTCAAATATTTAGCATCTAGAGAATAATTATTTATCCTCTTTTTCTAGGAAGTGATACCCAGCTACTAACCAAGAAAGCCTACCTCCTCTTTTAAAATTATTTTTTTAAAAAAATCATAATCAAGGGGAAAGGGGGCCTGTCCAGTAAGATAAGATAAAGCTAACACGGAGTTCTGGATCATAACAGCTGACTCTCCAGGAGTGCAAATAGAAGAGTACAGACTAGAAAGGTTAGGTTGGCATATCTCTATGTGTGTATGTAGTGTGTGTGTGTGTGTGTGTGTGTGTGTGTGTGTGTGTGTGTGTGTGAAGAGCTATGAAGTGATATCCCAGAACTTATTGCAGAGAATAGGTCCCTTCTTTGATCTGTCGTACTTAAGCTGTACATTTGATCTCACCGAAACCTGCAAGCAAATAACATAGACAGTATAAAGAAGAAGGATGATTTCTAACTAATGCCCCAGATACCCTTTTCCACATGACCTCTGGCATTCTCTGCAGTGATTGAAGATAGGGGACTTTGTGGGTCAGACACTTAAAAGAGCTCTGCTTTTTCCCTGGAGAATCCTAGGACTTTCAATTATAATCCACTTTCTTTGAACAAGATGCCCTATCCCTTACTGATACGCTGCACTCACTGCCTGGCTATTATGTACAGAAACAGGAGAATGTGTGTAGGCGGCTGCTATGTATTACTCAAATGACCCATAAATCAAGAGAAAGGCACAAATCAAGAGGGAAAAAAAATAAGCCATGTCACTTCCCTTTTGCATTAAGAATATGGCTACTTTACAAGCAGATTTTTAAATACCAGAAAGTGTGGGGCAAAGAAAGGCACTGGAAAAAGAAGCCCACATAAATAGAAAGGACCAAAATTAGATATATAACAATTTCAATATTTGGGATCCATTTATCCTACTGTTACTAAAGTTGGCTTAATAACCTCAGCACTGCCAGCCGCTGACAGAATAAGGCAGTGATAGCAAACCTTTTAGAGACCGAGTGCCCAAACTGCAACCCAAAACCCACTTATACATCGTCGGGTGCCGGGTGGGTGTGGCCCATTGGGTGGGTGTGGCCCATTGGGTGGGTCTGGCTGCAGTGATAACAGCAGACTGGGTGGGACTAAAAAGTTCAATCAATCAATTCCAACTTTGCAAGATCTTTTTTTTTTCCTGTGAGAAGTTGAAATTGACTGATTGATTGAACCTTTTTTTTTTTTGTACACGGTGGTGGAGGCCTAAAGCAAAAAGGTTTTATAAAACCCAACTGAAGGCCTAGGACTGGGGTGACGGCGCATGTGCCCATAGAGAGAGCTCTGAGTGCTGCCTCTGGCACCTGTGCCATAGGTTCGCCACCACTGGAATAAGGCATTACATTTGTCAGATTTAACACTCGGGCTTGCAGGAAATCACAGATTTCTAGATCCTCAGCTCTTAATTCAGTTCTTGGCGAGACTTGATAGACGCCTCCAAGATACAGTACAACTAGTTTAGAATTTTTACTGCAGACAAAAAAAAGAAGCCCTAACAGAAGAGTTGATTGCTTATAGTACAGCAAGAATTCAGAGACTTTATAAATCTATGCTAGCACATTTAAAATTTCTTCTTTCTACCTTTCCAAGATAATGGACAGTTGGCAGGTCCCTGATTGGCCTTTGGCATCTGATTTGAGGATCATAAACATAATAGAAACCAGTTGGATAATGTTTTATGCTATCAAGGAAGCAATTTTCCGCTGAGCTTACAAAATTACTTGACAGGCCTTAAGCATTTTGAACGATCACTTTCTACTCTCTAG